AGTCTCCTGCCTCAGCCTCCCAAGTAGTTGGGACCACAGGCACCCGCCACAACCCCTGGCTATTTTTGGTTGCACCTGTCATTGTTGTTTGGCAGGCCTGGGCTGGATTCGAACCTGCCACCTTAGGTGTATGTGGCTGGCGCTTTAGCCACTTGAGCCACAGGCGCCAAGCGTAAATGGTGAATTTTATGTGCATTTTATCTCAGTTTCAAAAACTCTTTTAGAAATAAGAAATAGGGCAGTGCCTATAGCTCAGTGGGTAGGGCACTGGCCACATATACCGAGGTTGGTGGGTTTGAACCCAGCCTGGGCCAGTTAAAACAATAATGACAACTGCAACAACAAAAAATAGCCAGGCATTGTGGGGAGCACCTGTAGTCCCAGCTACTTGGGATGTTGAGGGAAGAGAATTGCTAAAGCCCAAGAATTTAAGGTTGCTGTGAGCTGTGACGCCACATCACTCTACTGAGGGTGACAGCTTGAGACTTTGTCTACAAAAAAAAAAGAAAGAAATAAGAAATAAAACCACAAGATAAGTCCTATTAGCTGAGCATGGTGGCTCACTCTTGTAATCCTAGCATTCTGGGAGGCTGAGGCAGGCAGACCGCCTGAGCTCACAAGCTTGAGACCATTCTGAGCTAGAGTAAGACCCTGTCTTTAACACCTGTAGTGTCAGCTACTGCTGAGGCAAGAGAATCACTTGAGCCCAAGAGTTTGAGGTTGCTGTGAGCTATGACACCTGATGCCATGGCACTCAATTTAGCAACTGAGGGTGACAAAGTGAGGAAAGAAAGAGAGATGAAGGAAGGAAGGAAGGAAGGGCGGATGGACAGACAGGCCCTATTGAAGTCCTACCCAGAGCTGGTGGCTGCTCTGGAGAGACACGACTGCTTCTTTGCCAGGGGACATGCAGGCAATTCCGCCACTGCAGGAAAGCCTAGCTGACGTCTTGAGAGTCCCACCAGCCCACGACTCTACTTCCCGTTGCAGAACAGGGCCACTCTGAGAAGAGCTGTGACACCCCAGGCACAAATCCCTGCCAAAGTCTGGGCCCCCTTTCCCAGACAGCCACCAGCAGCTTAGGCTCCTGAAGCCCCCACTTTTGCCCTTATCACAATGGGCATGGGGTCAGGAAGGGGGGTAAACCTTTTCCCTAAAATGAAGTGTGGGCCCTGAGCTGTTTACTGACAATGAAATAAATATGTTTCAGTGCACATGTCTTTGACATTATAGAAAACAACTCCAGTAAATTGGAAACAGCTGAGCCTTTTCTTTCTTTTTTTCATTTGAGACATAGTCTCACTATATTACCCTTGTCCTGGGTAGAGTGTTGTGGTGTCACAGCAACCTCAAACTCTTGGGCTTAAGCGATTCTCTTGCCTCAGCCTCTGAAGTAGCCGGACTACAGGTGCCTCCCACAACGCCCGGCTATTTTTTGTTGCAGTTGTCATTGTAGTTTGGCAGGCCAGTGCCGAGTTCCAACCCACCACCCTTGGTGTACGTCGCTGGCACTATAACCACTGCACTTCAGGCGCCGAGCCCGCTGAGCCTTTTCAAGAGTGTGGGAATAGAGGGATCATTATAGTCACTTCACCCAGCACTGCCAGGGTTGGAGCCTGAGAAGGGAGGTGACCTGAGGAGACAATAGGGGCTGCCAGCCAAGAGGCTACTTAGAAGACTCAGCCTCAGGTTCAGACATCAAAACCAGGGTTGTGGCAACTGTGCTCCTGGCATCCTGATTCCTGATTCTATCTGAAATGCCCTTGCTCCGTCTCTGGCCAGCCTGGTGTGAGTCTGAGGGGCTCACAAATGCCTCCAAAATGAACCTAGCCCCAACAGTCTTGCCCCTGCCTCTGCTGAAACATCCACTGAAGGGTTAGCCAGGGTATAAGCCACAAACACCTGACAGTCTGGGGTCAATGTCCAGTCGTGGGCGGCGCGGCTTGACCAACTCCTGACTCAGCCCCCAGGGATTAGGGTGTGTTATTGGCACCAAAAGTCTGAGCTCTGAGTGAACCACAGAGTGCTGAGCTTTGTTTGTGAGAGCTAAGGCAAACTGCGACCCAATCCGTGGGGACAGCAGGAACCCGCCCGTTAACTGCCCTAAGGCTCCCAAGGCCCACGTGTCACTCATTGAGAGGCCAGAGGCGGCCCTTTCTACAAATGGGGTCCACGACAGGGAACCCCCCCAGAACCCGGGGCTGCAGTCGGGGGACACTGGACACGCAGACCTGGCCCCACTCAATTTGGTTTTATTAACATTAAAAAGCCAGATCTCAATGTTCAAAGAGCTGGGGTGGCTCCTCCAGCAGTTCGAGCCCCGCTTCTCCGGATGGATTTTCAAAAGTCTTCTCAAGTTGTCCGGTTTCCCGCCACGCTGCGGTCAACTCCCAGATAACTGTCCGAAGCCTCAAAATCCGCAGGTTACTAGGACTCGATCTAGCACCCATCGGCGAGCATGCGCAGTAACCGACACTAGCCCCTTTGCAGTCCAGCCCCACCCCCACCTCAGCCTCTCGGCCCTTCACCCCGATCTCCAATTGGCTGGAGTTGGCGCGTGTCAGCAGCCAACCAATGAAAACGCCGATAGGGCGGGGCCAAGGGCGGGGAGGCTCGGCGCGGCAGCGCGCGTCCATTGGTCGACTCGGCGAGGGGAGGAGCCGCTGGCTTCCCACAGGCCCCGCCGCCGCGATGAGCTTCAGCCGCTTGTGCCGCCTGCTGAAGCCGGCGCTGCTGTGCGGGGCCCTGGCCGCGCCTGGCCTGGCCGGCACCATGGTGAGCGGACGCCATCCCCGGGCCAGGCCGGGGGCCGTTGGGGCGGGCGGGCGACACCTGCCCCTCCCAAAGGCGCGCAGAGTCCTCGTGCCGCCCTGACCTTGGACGGGGCGGGGGGCGTCCGGATGGTGTCTCCTCGGTTCCCACTGGCCTAGGGCCGGTGCAGGGCAGGTGATAGCGCTCGCGGCGCCAGAGCGCAGGCGGGGTCGGAGTCCGCGCCCGGGTGGGGGCAGTGTCCAGGGAGGCTCGGGTACGGCCCGGGTGGGGCGTCAAGTCCGGGCGACTGGGGTCGGGGCGGGGATCTGGAGCCGGGCGGGGGACAGTGTCCAGACTGCTGAGGACGGGGCCTGGAAGGGGCCTGGTGACTGGGGCGTTCGGGAGTTGGGGTCCCAGTTGGTTGTCCCTGGCCCGAGAGGGTCTATTGCGCCGGGGCAGCTAGGTGGGCGCTCTGGCGGGGCCGTATAAACTAGCGCACTATGGCCTGTAAACCCGGGGTCACGCGCCCCCGGGCGGCGCTGCCGCGTCTCCACCCCCGGGGCCTAAGGCGGTGGCGTCACAGTCGTGCGGCCCGGGCTCCCTGACTACAGGCCTTTTGTTTCCGAGCGCGGCGCTCGGTGGGCCCAGGCGAGGAGAAGACCGGCAGGCATGGGCCGCGCGGGCGCGGGCTACCCGGGGCGCGGCAGGCAGCGGTCCCGTAACCCGGGAGGGAGGCAGCGCAGAACCTGTAGGCGGCGGAAGGCCCCGGCGTGCCTGCGCCGGAGAGCGCGCCGCCGGCGGAAGAACCCCTGTCGCCACTGCCCAGAGCAGGAGACCGTTGAGTGCCAGGACCCGGTGCGCGCGGGGTCCCCACCCGCTATAGCTCCTCGCAGGGTCCCGAGTTCTCCCTGGCCTCCAGGTCTCCGGTAAAATGGGCCCAGAGGCGCCGGGGTCGTGCATATTTAAGGAGCTGTCATATTTTCTGAGCCCCAAGGCCTTGGTTTCCTTGGCACGGGTCCGCTCCGGATCCCTTCCTCTCCCGGGGATCCCGGGCTGGCCAATGGACTGGTGGCTGTCGGACTCCCACACTGAGCTCTGCTGCTCTGCCCCCTTGCAGTGCGCCTCCCGCGACGACTGGCGCTGTGCGCGCTCCATACATGAGTTCTCAGCCAAGGACATCGACGGGAACACGGTTTGCCTGGACAAGTACCGGTGGGTTCCCCCCAGTTAGGGGATGTACAGGGTTGGGGCTGGGAGGGGAGGCCCTGACCTCAGCTGATCGCTTGACCACCTCCAGGGGTTTCGTGTGCATCGTCACCAACGTGGCCTCGCAATGAGGCAAAACCGACGTAAACTATACTCAGCTTGTCGACCTGCACGCCCGATATGCTGAGTGCGGTTTACGGATCCTGGCCTTCCCCTGCAACCAGTTCGGGAAACAGGTATGTATTCCCCAGGTGGGCTGAGTGTCTCTGAGGGGGTGTTGGGTTCCCTTCACACTCACCCACACACTCTGGGCACCACAGGAACCAGGAAGTAATGCAGAGATCAAAGAGTTTGCCGCTGGCTATAACGTCAAATTCGATATGTACAGCAAGATCTGTGTGAATGGGGATGACGCCCACCCGCTATGGAAGTGGATGAAAGTCCAGCCCAAGGGCAGGGGCATCCTGGGAAAGTGAGTGATCCTTCTGGGTAGGGGTAGATGGCTCCCTAGGGGGCTGGTGGGACATTCCTGACATGTTTGTGCTTCTTTTGTAGTGCCATCAAATGGAACTTCACTAAGGTATTGGGGGCTGTGTTTGGGGGTGAGGGAGAAAAGGGGCCAGGGCTGTGTGCAGGGCCAGCTGCAGGATGAGCCTTAGGGTACAGGGTTTTCCCTTGCTGGGGTCCTCTTCCACCTTGAGGTGGTCTCTGTGCCCTGACATTGTCCCTCTTGCAGTTCCTCATTGACAAGAACGGCTGTGTGGTGAAGCGGTATGGTCCCATGGAGGAGCCCCTGGTAGGTGCCTCTTTGGGAACTCTGCCAGGTGGGGGTGCCTAAGGAGAGGCTACCCCTAACCCACCCCTCCCCTACAGGTGATAGAGAAGGACCTGCCCTGCTATCTCTAGCTCCACAAGCGTGTTCCCTTGCCAAGCCCCTGCCCGCGCCCCCGGAACCTTCCACCCGGCACCTTTGACGGTCTGCCTATAAACCTGCCACTGGTGAGGCAGACCCGAGAACCTGGCGTGCACCCTGCCGGAGGAAGGTCCCACAGCCCCGTTGGGCTTGGGCTTGCCCCTCACCCTCGGCTGCCTTGTGGGAATAAAACAAAGAAATCAGCCTGCTGGGTTCTTCTGTCTTGGGGCAGCCAGTTTACGCTGGTTCAGGATGGGACAGGGGTAGAGTTCCCTGGGGCTCAGAGGGCTGCACCTGGCCTTGGAACTAGATCTGGGTTAGCTGGGTTTAGTGTTGAGGCTTCTAATCCTAGCAGCCCTGAGGGCTGCCCAGGCTGTCTAGGGTGTGGCAGGGCAGATTGAGTCCTAGGGGAAATAATTCTAAGTAGCTGCTGATCTTCCTGGCTCAGGGCCTTATCCTGAGGCCCTTATCAGTTAGAAGGCAGCTATGCAGGGGCTTGCAGGGGCTTGCAGGGTCTCAGTCCTTTCCAGAGTGTGAAGGCACAGATTGAGGGTTAGATCAGGGATCTGCCCCACAGACGCCCCCAGACAGTGGGGCCCTGGCTCTTGGGGCTAGAAGTCCAGCCATACTGGGCAGGGTGAGAGTGAGCCTCATCTGCCCTGAAGGGTGTGTGTGGGTCTGTGGGCTCAGAGCAGACGGGGCTGGAGTGGTGGTGGTGGTCTCACTGTCTTTAGGGTTCCTCCTAGGTAGGTTTAGGCTGCCTACAGCTAGAGGGAGCTGGCCAAGACTGCCAAGGGGGTGGTGTAGCTGTAGAATTGGTCCCAGAATGCCATGATGAGGGATGATGAGGGTCCTAGGCCCTGGCACAGACAGTCCACAGACAGCTGCCTTAGCCTGGGTCCCCCATTGTCCACATGTGGTATGGGTGGTGGGGTGATCAAAAAGCACTTGTAACAAGGGGTCTGTGATGGGCAGGATTCCACAAGCTTTAGTCCCCACCCTTCCTACTGTTCCCCACAAGCTGGCCAGAGGAGCAGACAATGTGGGAAGTAGGCAAAAGGCACGTATATTTAAAAAAGATATCTTTACATATATACATTAGAGTTCATTATAAATACACATAGAAACCAAAGGGCCACCCTACCCCAAGCTCCTCTGGCAGATTCTGGGACCTGGGAGAGGCAAACAGGCAATAATTTAGGGAGCAGAGAGGCATGGGGATGAAGGAATTGCATATATTAATGGGGGTCTGCCCCACAGAGGCCCCCAGACAGCGGGGCCCTGAGCACCTGGGGTTTCCTGAGTTTCTAGCTCTTGGGACCACTCAGATATTTCACCGGTTGAGGCCTGGCCAGCCTTGTAGGTGGGTAGGGTAGAGCTGGAGGCCCTGGGTCCAGAGAGGCACAGATTTCTGGCCTTTACCCCCAGCCCTGCTGTAGCGCCCTGGCCCCCTTAGGGGTCCTGAGTGGGACCTGCACACAGCAGCAGCCCCAGGGCTACAGGGCCAACAGCAACCACCAGTGACCCCACCAGACCTGTGATGGTGGGGGCCAGCTGGGGAAGGCACTGTGGCGAGGCCACGGTAGAAGAGAACTGTCCCTGGTAAGTGGACACATTATAAGTAAATAAACGTAGGTGTGGAAGATGCCATCTAGGTGCCAGGGAAGGGTGGGGTGAATTGGATGACGCTCCGTCGCTCGGTACCCCCACCCCCTACCACTCCTGCGCCCTCCACCAGTGGGCCTGGGGCTTCAGCAGGGCTTGAGTGCAGGGAGCGCAGCATGTCCTCTAGCACCTCCTTGAAGTTGATGTCACAGCCCTGATGTGCCAGGGCTGCAGGGTCAGGGGGGCCATGTGGGGTGCCCAGGAGCAGTCCCCCAGAGCCAGGATCCAGAGGTAGCGGTGGGGGAAATGAGAAGTGCGGGAGGGGTGGGAAGGCCTCAGCTGGTGGGCTGTAGGTCAGGTCCAGCACCTCGCTGGGGCCACAGGGCAATGGGAGCTCCTGCAGTATGGGTGTGGCAGGGAGGCCCCTGACACGTGCCCGCCTACGCTTGACATCAGAGTCCATCAGCTGCAACTCCTGGAGCACACGGCGCACGCAGCCCTCAGGGATCTTGATGCCTGGGGCCAGGACAAGGAGGTGGTCAGGGGTCAGGTGTCAAGGGGTACCTGGCCTGCCTGCCAGCGCCACTTACCCACTTGCTTCTTTTTGTCCTTGGTCTTGAGACGCACAATCTGCAGGTAGCTGCTGCTGCTGACATCTGCCATGACTGCAGCAATGCGGCCCCACACACGCAGCAGTGCCCCACACAGCATGTAATGGTGCCGTAGCCGCAGGCCCTGCAAGCAGTCCTTGCCCTCCTGCACCAGCCGGCAGTGCCGGTTCCTGCAGGGGGACAGGGTGGCTCAGGTCCTGGGGGCTCCCTCCCCAAAGTGTTCCCCCCCAACAGAGTCTCAGCTGCCCCATATGCCCTGTGGGTTTCCCCTAAGGGTTTCTCCCACCTGGGGCTGCTCCTCTGTAGATTGCTTACCATGCAGTGTGGCTGCAGTGGGTCAGCGAGTAGATGTAGTTACTCTCCCAATGCTCCTTGGCCTCCTCTGGGGTGACCTGGGGACATAGGGCCTTTGAGGCTCTGCAAAGCCACCAGTATCTGAAGTAGCCATCCAGCCAGACCACACTACTGGGAAACTGCAGAGTCCCCTGTGGCCCATCCTGGTTGCCTAGTGTGCTGGGGTCTCAAGGCTTCTGGGGAAGGGATGATTGGAGGCCCACAGATCTCCCCCACCCAACTTTCCCCATCCCTACACGGTGGAACTTGCGGCACAGGCTGTCCAGGGTCTCCAGCTGGCTTTGCCGGCCAATGTTGGGCTTGTACACTGTGAAGTGCTTGCCGCGGTTCTGCTCCACCAAGAGGCAGCTGGGCTTGTTGCCCCGAACCTAGGAAGGAGGGCAGGTGAGGTTAGTTGCCCCAGGGTCCCTCCAACACCCCTGCAAGTGGATGTCCCAGGGGCGGTATGGCAGGACTGCTGGCCTCACTGCACCTCTGGCCCTGTTCTGAGTGCAGGGCATGGCTGTGGGTGACACAGCACCCACCTTGTATGAGAGGTAGAAGCCATCGTGAGGGCCAGTCAGCTCTAGTGCTTTGGCAAATGCCTCCTCCCACTTCAGGCCTCTGTCCACGCTGATCTGCCACAATATGCAAAGACATTAGTGCAGGGGCCCTAGCATGCAGACTGGGGGCCAGGAGCTTGCTGCTCACCTTGTAGAAGACCACCTGCCCATCCTGTGGGTGCCCAGGGGCCAAAAACACCTGCTGGCTCTCCTCGTAGATCTCGTCAATGCCAGGAGCCAGGTCTGGGAGGTGTGGTGGTAGTCAGCAGAGTGAGAGCCTTGGGGGGGGGGGGGCTTCCTTCCCTGGGTCTGGGAGAGCACTGGGGATGGGGCATGGCCAGCCTAGGTGTGGCTTGGCCTGTTCCTGGTTCTGGGGTTCAGGGAACCATATTGATTTTGTGGGCTGGGGTGGTGGTCCCCAGTGGTAACCCCCAGGAAAGCAGCTCCCCATTCCCCCAGGGCAACCACAGGCTCACCCAAGATGCCCATGTCATATTTGCCCTCCTTCTTGTCTGCCTCTATGAGGTGGTCGAAGGTGTCAGAAAAGTACTGAAAAAGCGCGTTCTGCTTGTACACCTCTAGCCCCAAAATGCGGTTCAGGAACTTAGTGATGGAGCAATCTGGGAGGAAGGGACAAGTGTCAGGCCACACCAGATACTCCTCCCTCCCAGGATCATACCAGGTTGGGTTCAAGGGGGTCTCACCTTTCTCCACATCCAGGCAGCCAGAGCGGGACTCTCGCCCCCCAATGCCAACTGAAAGCAGGCCCTGCTTCATGTCTGTAGGAAGAGAGGCTCACATGCAGTCCTCCCCTGACCCTTCCTCAGGGTCCTGGGAAGCTGACCAACACCAAGCCCTGCATCATGCCTATAGGAAGGGGGTTCATACATGGTCCTCTTGTAACCCTCCTCTGTCCCCTGGCTTACCCCCAGTGTGTGGAACCTTCCTTGGGGGGAATCTCAGGAAGGGCTTCTGAGGGTAGGAGTGGGGCATTAGTACCTGGCCAGGGAATTGACCCTTTTCCCTTCCCTCCTTGACTGTGACTCAGTAAAATAATAATACCTTCTTGGGAATAAACCCAGACCTGGGTCCTTCAGCTCCCCCAGAAACCTGCCTGGCTGTAGGGTGGGGGGGGCACTCTGGCTCCCTCTCTCCTTCCATGAGTGTGTGGGGAGGAGTTTCTCAAGAAAAATCCAGCCTGGTGGTGCTGGACGCTCAGTCAGCAGGGCGCCAGCCACATACACTGAGGGTGGCGGGTTTGAACCCACCCCAGCCAGCTCAAAACAACAGTGCAATTGCAACCAAAAAACTAGCCAGGTGTTGTGGCAGCCACCTGTAGTCCCAGCTACTTGGGAGGCTAAGGCAAGAGAATCGCTTAAGCCCAAGAGTTTGAGGTTGCTGTGAGCTGTGACGTCACGGCACTCTACCCAGGACAACAGCTTTAGACTCTGTCTCAAAAAAAAAAAAAAAAAAAAAGAAAGAAAAATCCAGCCTGCAAATCCCAGTACCCCAAACTGCTCTGCAACCTGATGTCCCATCCCCAAGACCTCCACCCCTCCCAGGAAGCCCACACTGGCCTCACTCACCCCTGAAGAAGGCAGCAACTCCTCCTGGGTAGCCCTGGGGCACTGGCACCTTGTTCTCAACCTGGCTCAGGATGGTGGTGAGGACACAATGGAGGGCCCGGATGCCATACTGGGGGACAGAGGGTCGTGAGTCAGGGGCAGTCACCCAAGTCTAATCTGGTCTTCCCCAGGACCCCTGCCCATGCCCCATACCTTGTTCTCAAAATTGTACTTGCTCAGGTCCCGAGACTCAGTGGCCCGGCGGTCTCCGTGGGTCAGGGCGCCCTGCCAGGGGTGAGGGAGGCCATGGGAATGTTACCTAAGCTTCAGGCTCCTCAAGGGTTGGGGGCCTTCCCAGCTCTCCTGGCTCCCTCCTGCTCACCAGGCTCTCGAGACGCTTGGCCACAATGGAGGCAAATCTGCGCTCCCCCGCCAGCTCGGAAATAAGGAAGACATACTCGGGAGCTGAGACCTGGTTGGAACGGTGGGTACGGCCTAGAGAGAGAAGGAGGCTCTCAAGGGCTGTTGATGGGGAATGGACCAGCCTGGAACCAGGCCAGGAAGGGTTGGAGCTAGATCGGGTGGGGCCTCACCGAATTGCTGGATGGCTCTATCCGCACTCCAGGGCAGCTCGAGGGTCATGTGCACACGGCGCCGCTGGTTCTGGACACGGCGGTCGGCTTGAAGTGAGACGCCCGAGCTGGAGGCTTCCGAGATGATGGCCACGAGCTGGGGTAACAGAAACAGGCAGGGACAGAGCTGAGTCCCTGTGCCAGGCCCTATGCTGCCCCCTCCTCACTCGCCCAGCCCCCAGCTTTGAGTCACCAAGAGCGATGAGAGACCAGAGAGGCCTCTAGGGCCCACGGGTATTGCATGCCCATACACGCTTGCACAAGCACGTCACGCATGCTGAGGGCTTTGACAGGGCAGTCCTCCCCACCCTGCACCTTCTCGCCGCTCATGAAACGTTGCTTCTCCCTGAGATTCACGTGGTCGATGGACAGGCCCTGCTCTGCCCGTGACTCGAAGGCCACCGTCCCGTCAGGCCTGGACACGATGCGGCCTTTCCTGCCAGTCATCTGTGGCAGTGGCCGGGGGCGAAGGGACAGGCTGTCAGCAGTGTGGTCGTACAGGGAGGGGCTTTGCCACCCCCATGTCTGAGTTTTCCTGTCTTCCCACTGCTGACCCTGGGATTCACAAATCTGTGGCCAGGAATCAGCTTCTGATTTGGCTGTTATCAGAGGATCATCTTGGATGGCCCATGGAGAGCTGCACTAGGTCTAAAGTCTTATTTTTATTATTAGGCATCTAGTGCTCAAGTGAACCTGAGACAACAGCAGGAAGACCCCCAAGCAGAAAACACAGCAATCCAGCAGAGGAAGCGGGCAGGGGACGAAGGAAGAGAGCCCGAACCAGGGACAGAGTTCAGGTTCTGGGCACCCCACTGACATGGTCGGGAGATTCTGAGGGTGCAGGGGCGCTGGGGAGGAAAGCCCACCACAGGCGTCTGGGCCCAAGCCGCCTGGGTCCAGCTGAATGCTGAGCAGCTACCTTTCTTGCGAGGCAGGCTGTGATGCCGAGTGACCAGTAGAGGCCGCCAGAGCCAGCAGAGAATGGGTAAGGCCCCGCCCCAACCCACCTATCCCCAACCCTACTTACCCTGTCCCAACCCCGTCCACACCTTGATGGCCCCGCCCACTCCCTCACCTCTGCCACCCGCTCGGGACCGCCCAGCTTGTCAATCAGCTCATCCAGAGTGTTAACTGGCAGGTCTTGGCCCAGCAGCCGCACCTTAGCCAGCAAGTCCTGCTTCAGCCACTCAACCCGCTCCAGGACACCAAGGCCATGTGGGTCCCTCTGAGGGTGGCATAAGGGCCCTGGAGGGATACAGAGGGTGAGGGCAGATGTTCCCTCAAGCTTCATGTTGCCTGAAGGACTGCCGGATGCACAGGACCAAAAGGAACTGCTTTTCTGTCTAGGCCTGTTGCCCTAAGACCATCAGGGCAAGAGACTGAGCCTCCATGTCTGGGCCTGGTCAGGGTGTGAAGGCCAGCTCCAAGTCTGGCTCTGTCTCTGGCTAGTACTGAAGCCCTAACCTCCCCTCTCAAAGCCTCAGTTTATGCATCTGTATAGTGCAAAGCGCTGAGAATAGGGCCTGGCTGGCATAAGGGGACTCCACATGGGCTGGATCAGTTGCCAGGAGATGGGGGCTGGCCACACTGACAGTGAGGAGGGCCGAACCCAGAATTCAGATTGGAACCCTGACCTGTCACAGATGGCGACCCAACCTGGGCTGAGCCTGCACCTTGGTCATCCATTGGAAGCCCTATGCTGTCCACGATGACTACATCATCGTCCACTAGGGACTCTGGGGAGGAGTTGAAGTCACTGTCCAGGCCAGCATCTGACTCGGTGCTGCTGTCATCACTGATGCGGATCACGCCTGCTGCCTCATATGCCAGCCTAGAGGCCTTGGCTCCACGTCCCCGTGGCCGCCCTGCAGAGAGGAGCTGAGGTCACTGAGGGCCAGAGTGAGGAGATGCAGAGAAACAGGCTGAGCCCTAGAAAGCTGGGCATAGAGAAGCTAGCAGGTTTTAGAAGGAGAAGTGTTGTGACTCCCAAAAGGGAAGGGGCTTTCTGGGGAAGACTCTGCCCATGAGCCAGAACTGTATGCCCCCATCTGGTACACATGCCACCATGGTAGGTATCTCTGTAGGAGGCATTCTGCTGTTCTCCCAAGTCTTCCTCTGTTAAACTGACCCAAGAAGCAGTTTCACATGCCCATGTCCCATATCCTTCCAGGGCCAGATAGGGTTGTTTATACTTGGTGGCCCTGGGGAAACACATGTTGGACCTCTTGAGGCAGCTCTGGGATTCCTGGCCTACTAGGGATGTTGATGTTGGCCAGAGTCTCCTTTGAGGGGACACTGCTGATATACAGGCTGCTCCCACCCCACAGTCATGCTGCGGTTCTGTCCTGGCAGTGGAAGGGAAGTGGCAGTGGGAGGGGATGATCAGGGAGCAGAGCTGGACGCCCTGAGTCAATCCTGGCTGTGTGACCCTGGGTGAATAACCTGGCCTCTCTAAGCCTCACCCACTTGCAACACCAAGGGAGTTTTTGGAAGAAAAGGTTTCTGGGCCTGGCCCTGGCTCTCTTGCTGGGAGCAGGGACAGGAGTTAGTGAGGCCTAGGGGCTGCCCTCAATTTGGGCTTCCCTCCTGGAACCGTGGGCTTGTCCTCCCATAGATGCCTGGCCCTGCAGAGTAGGGTGGGGTCTACAGGAGACTCCTAATTGGCAGTGGAGGCATAAGCTTGTCTAGCAGGTCAACCCCAAGTGGAGACAGAATCTCAGCATGACCGTGGAGTGGGAGCAGCAAGGACTGACATACCAACCCAGCCTGGCAATGGTGTGGAAGCAGAGGTACAGGGTAGCAGGGTCAGTGCAGCATGGCTGAGTCATGTGGAGGGTGCTTACGTTTTCGCTTATTGCCCACTCCTTTGTCTCGCTTCCTTTTGGTTGAGGGAAAGTGCTTCTGAATTAGTGACAGAAAAACGCCTCTGAAAGTGAGAAATAGAGTTTATTCCGCTACTGGAACAGCCATGCTTTGGCTGGGAGACCATGTGCAGGTTTGCTCTGGGGGGAGAGGGGAAGTGTAGCCCCTGGGGCCCTGCTGGTGGTACAGGGCTGGCCCTGGGAAAATGGTCTTGTGTTTGTGCTCAGACAGGCAGGTAGGGTAGAGAGAGCCTGCCTGGCTGCCTCCAAGGGAAGAGGGCTCCCAGGATGGGTGGGCACAGGGTGAGGGAAGAACTAGGGGACTTCCTAGTGAAGTGATGCTGGGCATTGGGGGAGCCCTGGGCAATGAAGAGGACAAAGGAATGACCCTTGATTAGGCTGGGGCATCAGACAGCCAGGAGGCCAAGCCCCTGAAACCCAGGCATCCTTGCTGAACTGGCTCAGGGGCCCTGAAGACTCCTTCTGAGACCCTAAGAGACAACCTGCCAGTACCTACCATGCCTGTGACAGCCTGGTGTCCACCCAACCCTGTTATAGTGAAAGGCAGGCTGGAGGGGGAGCCTCAGCGAACACCTGGTCTATCACAGGGGGACTCTCTGAGCTCGACCACAGACCTCCCCGGCCACTCACTCAGCAGCCGAGACGAAGCAGTCCAGGTGCCCATCATTTTCCCCTAGCACTTCTCGAGTTCGCGCCTCACCTGTGGACTGTAGCCCAATGACCACGCACTGTGGGATGAGAGAGGGGCTCTGAGCCACTGCCCTGCAGTAGCCATCACCCATGGGTGTGGAAACTTCTGGGCTTCAGACAACCACTATACCCTACACTCTGTGGCGTGTGCTCACTCTTCTCCCCCAGAAGGGGACCCCAGCCCACCTGTACACAGGGACAGGTAGGGGTCAGCCAACCTCCTGTCTCTGGACAGTCAGCCCACTTGCACACCCTGTAGCCAGTGCATGGGCTCCACAATTCTTGACACTCCAGCCAAGGGCAGGCTTGTTGGATTGTAAAGCAGACATTGGGAGCCTAGATAACCCCACTGCCCTCACCCAGCAGGCTAGGCCACCCTCCCAGCCTGAAAAGACCCTCTCACCTTGTCTTGAGCCAGTTCCTCAAGGGCCAGCTCTACCAGCCGGTGCACCTTGGCAGCAATGCACAGGTACTTGAAGAATCGCTGATGGGCTGACCAGAACTGGCCCCACAGGGACTTGCGTGACTCCAGACCTATCCAGTCAGCTGCCTGCTGGAACACGCCCAAAGCCTCGGCCCACTGCAAAGACATGCTCATCTGAGCCCCCCACCTGGGGCCCAGGCCTACCTGCCACCAGCCTCTAGGCAGAGGGCCCTATGCCTGGTGGAATTGGGGGCTTAGGGGCTAGGGTAAAAAGCATTGCCTGTATCTATACAGTAAAAACGCTAAAAACATGTAGTTTTGGTAAAAATGTTAAAAAACCAACAAAGGGCTGGGTGTGGTGGCTCACGTCTGTAATCCTAGCACTCTGGGAAGCCAAGGCAGGTGGATTGCCTGAGCTGATGGGTTGGAAACCAGCATGAGCAAAAGCAAGACCCCATCTCTAAATATAGCCACGTGAGGCTCAGCACCTATAGCTCAGCAGCTAGAGCGCCAGTCACAGATACCAGAGCTGGCAGGTTTGTATACACCTGGGCCTACCAAACAACAATGACTACAACCAAAAAATAGCCAGGAGCTGTGGTGGGTGCCTGTAGTCCCAGCTACTTGGGAGGCTGAGGCATGAGAATCACTTAAGCCCAAGAGTTTGAGGTTGCTGTGAGCTGTGATACCACAGCATTCTACCAAGGGTTACATAGTGAGACTGTCCCCTGCCCCTAAAAAGCCAGGCCCCAAAAAGCCAGGTGTTATGGTGGGTGCCTATAGTCCCAGCTACTCAGGAGGCTGAGGCAATAAAATCACTTGAGCCCAAGAGTTTGAGGTTGCTGTAAGCTATGATGCCAGGTCACTCTACTGAGGGAACAAAGTGAGACTGTCTCAAAACAAAAAACCAACCCTACATAAATATTGCTGGCAAAGTTGTGGTGAAAATGGCACAGACCCACAGAGCACAGGCAGGAAAAGGCACAGCTCTTTAGGAAAAATATGGGGATCTTTGCAGTATTTGCTCCAGAAAATGGGGACATCTGTGGTTGTCACATTGGCAGGTGCTCCTGGCATGCGATGGGTGGAGGCAGGGATGCTGCTCAGCACCCTGGAGGATGCTCAGGATGGTCCTACCCAAGAGGACAATGGCCCCGATGTCCACATGCTGCAGGGAAGAGACCTCAGTTGTCTGACTTAAAGAATCATTTAATGCACAGTCAGGGCTGATGCTATCTGATGTAAGGGTGAGAAAACAGGAACTCTTCCAAATAGGGAGGAAACAGCTGAGCCACATGGCCCATGGGATGGTACCTACTGAAAACATTCACGGGATCAGCCCATAACCTGGTAGCAATGTGCTTGGCAATCTTGGGAAGGAAAGGCAGGGATTTGTTCATATGCCCATGATTATCATAGTCACATAAAAATTCCCAGCTGTGAACAGAATCAAGATGCTGGGTGACTGCCCAAGGCCATGACAGGATGCCTGTGTGATCTTAAAAAACAAAGCACTGCAAGGCCATGGGGACATAAATCTGAGCACCACAGAGACCTACAGTCAGAAGCCCTGATTGCCTGAGCCCACAGGGACACCTCATTCACCAGCAGGGCCGCGCGGTTGTAGACGTGCTCAAAGTCTGGGGTCAGTGGGATCTCCTCGATGCGGAAAGTGACACCGGAGAAGCTGAGCTGACGTGCGATGTACATACCACTGACTTTCATGTCCATGGCCACAATTTCCATGGCGCCCACACCCCTGTGGATGGACAATGGCTGCCTGAGTACCAGCTGGGTCCCACCATGTGCTGGGTTCCGCTAAGTGATGGAGCAATCCCAGGAGAGGGTTGACCCTAGAGTGCAAGGTAGAGCCCAGCACAGAGAGGCAGAACTGGCACATGTGAAGTCCCTGTGGTCACACAGGCACAGTTCCTAGCTGGAGTGGGAGGCAAGAAAGACTGCTAAGAGCCAGGGGATTCAGGGGGAGGGGGCTGGCTCCACTGAGAGAGCAGGAAGCACTAAGCAGATGTGACTTGTGTTTTCATGTCCCTCAGGGTACCAACAGAGGAGAAATACCAGACCCCAAACCATGGGCAGGGAAAAGTGCTCACCTCTTCTCGATGGCATGCAGGAACTCCTCGAAGGTCCGGAAGGGTGTACCCTCACCCCAGATGCCCAGGCGGCTCATGTAGATCATGTTCCGGGGCTCAGAGGCACCTGGGTGGTGAGCATGGAAGCGGCCATTGGTTCCCCGCCCCAGAGGTAATGCCAGGGCCAGGTAAGGGGGCCTGATGCTCCAGACTGGGTGCTCCTGTAAGGGTGGGTGCCACTGGCCTGGGAAGGAGCAGCCTGCCTTTGGGACTGGCCCAGAAGTACCCCAGCCCACAAGAAGGAGCACGGTGTAGATCTAAGGCCTTGCATGGCAAACAGGACATCCATTCCCAGTTGTGCCAAGGTAGGCACCACTAATGGATGGCATATCTGTGATCAAGCCACCCACCAAGGTCCCACCCCCATGTCCCCCACCTGTGGCGCTGGCATAGACCACCCGGGCCAGGGGCAGCTTGTTCTGCAGGTCCAGCACAGCCTTGCCCATCTTGGTGGAGCTGGCATTCTTTGCTTTGTGGCATTCATCAAAAATGATCTGTATTGGGGATGTGTTAAGGACTATTCTGGAATGACAGTGGGCAGCCCCAGGGGCTCAGGCCCTGACTTAAGGGGGGGGTCCCTACCTTTCTGGTTAGGGCAAACGCGCAAGTGATGTGGATTTCAAAAGTCATGCCCCAGGGGTATTTGCCACAGGTGGTTGCAAAGGCCGTAGGCACACAGACATGCATACCAACCAGGAAGGCAGGGCCCTGGCAAGGAAGGGTGGGCTGCTTCCACTTCAACAAGGCCTGACCCTTAAGGTCTGTAGATGTTGCCAGGGGAAGATGGGGAAAGAGCATTTGGGATTAGGTGGCACCTGGGGCTCAAAAGGTTAGGGTGCCAGCCCCATATGCTGGAGGTGGTGGGTTCAAACCCAGCCCCAGCCAAAAAAAAAAAAAAAAAA